GGGGGGGGGGGGCAGTTTAGGTAATTGATATGGGAAATATTTTAGTAACTGTTTAAGAAGTTTCTAGAAAGCTAAAAATAAACTTGCTTGGCAAGCAAGTCAAAAATTGAAGGACTGTTAAATAAAAACAAAATTATAAAGGGGATAAAAGGCAAAATGAACCATTTTTCAGCTGCCCTAGTAGTTTGCCTATAAAGGCACTGAAGGAAAGCTGAAGGGGATTTTTGGAGGGATTAAGAGATAGAAATCCAGAAAAAAACTCAAAACGGCTGAAAAATATCAAAATTTACTGTTCTATTAAGTTTGCCTTGAATTTTGAGGTTTCTTTGAATTGCTGAGGCAGTTTTCTGGTTCATGTGGGTTTAAAATGGACTGAGTTTTGGTTGCAAAGGTTTTTGGGTTGAAGGTCTCCTTTAGTAGTGCTTTAGGATTGTTTTCACCTCACTTTCTTTTCGAAATTGGTTGCTGGTTTGAACCCTGCTGTGTTGCTGCTACTTTTTCATCTGCTGAACCTCATTTTTGTTTCCATTATTCCAGGTACATGTTTCTACACTTTACTTAATGTAAAAGTTGGACTTGGGAATTGAAAATGGAAGTCAAGAGCTGTGATTAATAGCCATAGCATCTGTGGTCATAGTTAGCTCTTTTGTTTTACTTTCGATTCTTGTCTCTTGTTTTTAAATATATAACTGAAAAACTGATATTCAGTACATCATATGTTGGTTGCCAAATTGGATGAAGCCTTTGGGATGTAGTTATTATGTGTTGCTCATCTTTGTTTAAGATTTGGATTCAAAACTGTATAAATATGGCATGATTCATGTTGTTCTGGACTTTTAAATGTGTACTAGATAAGTTATCAAGTCTGTTGTAATATGGATCTCCTATGCAAGTCGGGCTGAGGGACAATACTATAGTGTGTGTACTTGATTCGTATGCATGACTGCTCGCTTACATCAGGAATTTGGACATGTTTCTTGGTTTTTCTTTAAGATCCAGTTTAAGTTTGTTTTCAGGCTTAGCTTAGTTTTTTTGTTTTGTTTTAGAACCTGAGTTTTTATATCTTAGTCTTTCATCATTTGTTTTGGAATTCGAGGGATGCATTTATGGTCTTGAAACTAGGACTCAAATAATGAGTTTGTGGTTTGGCAAGTTACCAAAATTAGTTAGTCAATTCAATGTTTCACTCATTTGCTGTTGTCAAGTTTGTGACTGGGCTTTATATTTCATCTCATGCGTTGAAATCTAGTGTTTTGCACAATGTTCAGTTTTTTTTTCTTTCTAAAAAATGACTATTTGAGGCAGACCATAATACTGGTTTCATGTGCATTTGTTGTTGTGTTTTGGTCAATGTTATTGGGCCCGGATTTGGACGATTATGTGGGCCTTGGACCATGAGTCCACTTGAATTAAATTTGCCGGCCTCATTAGTCGGCCAGTGCAATTAGCTTTATGAATTACTAGTTGGCGCAACCATGGAAAGCTGTTGGGCCTCACGCCTAGCCCAAACTTTTATGTTAAAACTTTCAGCTTTAGTCTTTCTTGAATTAACCCATGCAGTAGTACAATTCTGACTCTTTAATTGCTCAAATAATCAATTTACTCTAAATAATTGAGGTGCGCCATATTAGATAAAACAAGTAGTTTGTGGCCCTCCGAGCTTTAGTTTAAATACCTTCACTTTTAAAATAGAATCGAGGCGCGCCGCACCAATCAAAATCTCAAATGCGTGGCCCTCACTTAATCATATCTTTTAAAGTCCTTAGAATTCGAGACGTACCATTTAGCACATTTTCATGGCCCTCGCAAAGCTAAAAACACGTAGTTGCTTTAGACGCGTTATTTTAATAATGCTACTTTCCTAAACTCGGGTGCGCATTTATGTGACCCAAATCCAAATCTCAACGTTGGATAAAATGTGTTGCGGACTGCGGGTGCATTTATGTGACGTGGTTCAAAACATATTTTAAATAACGTTGCAATCTTCCTTTAATTAATTAAATAAAAGCGATTAAAAGTTAAAATTCTACATAGGTTCAAAAATGTTTTAAAATCAGATAATTAAGCCGAATATAACAGTTGAGCGACCGTGCTAGAACCACGGAACTCGGGAATGCCTAACACCTTCTTCCGAGTTAACAGAATTCCTTACCCGGATTTCTGGTTCGCGGACTGTAAAACAGAGTCAATCTTTTTCTTGACTCGGGATTCAAACCGGTAACTTGGGACACCATAAATATCCCAGGTGGCGACTCTGATTCTTTAATAATAAATCCTGTTTCGATTGTCCTTTAATTGGATAAACTCCCTTATACACCCTTCCGGAGTATAGTAAAAAGGAGGTGTGACACCTATCCAAGTGAGCTTCTTTGGTGAATAAGGCAGATTAGTAGGCACGTTTACACCATCTACATCTTCTTTGAAGCCAATCTTCCTAGATGAAGAATATGTAAGAACTCTGATTTTCAGAATTGGCAAAGGGAAGAAGAAGAACATGAACCCTAAATTTCCGAGGTGTTTCAGTTGTATGGGGGGATCTTCAGTCGTATTTGGCTGATGGATTATAGGGTTTAGTGGGTTATGTATACGTTGGGTCAGGTCGGGTTCAAACGGGTGGATGAGTTGGATATATTTGGGGTAGGTTTTAAATCAACTAATAATATCATACCACGTCATTAAAAATAATTTTGATTTAAAAGTTGAAGTAGGATGTTAATTTAAAGGGCATGTGTGATCCAGAAACACCTCGGCCAAATAAGTGAATGAGGTCATTATTAGACCAAATGTAATAGTTGGACATTTTAGGCACTTTTCCGTATAAAAAATTAGTACAATTTTGACAAATAACTAAAAAGAATTCCAACAAATCTATATTTTCGGTGAAACCACGGAGTCGTCGAGGACGACCAAAGTAGGAAAGGAAACATTAAATGAATTCAACGCTCTCTTCTGAAGTTGTCCCTTTTCTTTTCCCTCTCTACGGCTCCTTTTCTTTCGTAATTTACTACCAACTCCTCTACTCTCTCCTCTGTCTCTCTGCTGAAATTCCCAGTACAAGAAGCAGATTTTTCCCATTGAACCCATAATTCAGCTGGAACTATCAGGTTTACTTTCTTGCTTTAGTAGAGATAGCTTTTCTTTACTTGGTTTTACTTGTTCGACACGTTTCTTTGAGGTTCTTGGTATTATATTTCTCTATTCCTTTTCTTACAGTTGAAGGTGAAATGTTTTCTGATGTTTGTCAATCTTTTTTCTTTAATTTTTATTGGGAATGCATGTCGACAGGTAAAATTAGCCTCAGTGAAGCATGTTATTGATCAAAAAAGTTTTTCTTAAAATTTCTATGAGAGCAAAACAAAAGACAACTAAACAACTTGACATATCTATGTTTTAATGTTACAAGAAAAATTACACGAGGATATGATTGGAAGATAATGAATTTGACAAAATAATTATACTCTCAAATTATGTCTCTTAAGTTTCATAATATCATACCCTGAAATTAAATGCTCTAATAGCTATGTGAATATAATTTCTACCTGAAGGGAGATTTAAATTAATTAGCTGCAGTGGTGGAACTAAGTAGAGTGAAGGGGGTTGTCTGAAAATTACAGTGTGCAAATAGGGTTAAAATAACTTTTTTTTGGTTATATGTGAGCTGTTGAATCCTCTTCACATGAAGGAAAATTCAAGTATTGTAGTGAAGGGGGTTCAAAAGTTGCTTTAGGCCATAGGTTTAAATCCCAACTGTAATATCGTTTTTCGTTTTTTGAATCCCCTTGTACAAAATTTCTGGTTCTGCCACTGCTTAGCTGCTAGATATCCATTTTTATAGTATTGGAAGTGAAAGCGAAGTTAGAGTGACAGTACTAAGAAGAATAATAACTTATTTCATAATGAATCTAACTTATGGTTTTCTGTTGATACAAGCCTTTTCCTCTAAAGAAAACTACTATTTTAATGCATTATAATGAATTCCCAGTACTGGAAGTATTTGAACAGAAGTATACAGATCTATATGTCTCAGGAGATGAATGCACACTCACAACTACTTATTCATCTCTGTTGCGTATACAGCTTTTACAGTTGTCTCAATATGCTATTGTCTGAAAACTTTGGTTCACTTTGGATGGTGGTTTTCTGCTTTCCTCCTGAGGTCCTGGAAATTTGCTAATTTGCTTTATTAAGTTGCATTAACTAATCCAGCTTACTTCAGAAATTTGTTTCGAGTGCTCATCAAACTTTTATTTCTTTGTTGGATTTTGTAGTTTCTGTTGACAAAGACTTGTGAAGTCATTTTGCACCTTCTGTTCTTTAAGCTTTCAAGCTTCATGACAAAAGCTTTTCTTCATTAAAATGCTGCTAATTTCCTCTTGTAGGTTGAGTATCTGAGGGATGGGAACTTCTGAAATAGATGAGATGCCGATGTTATCATCATCATATCCGCAGTCTAATGAAATTGATGGCTTTCAAGATCAACGTTTTACGTACAGGACAAGGAGTGCATCCTTATCAATGCCAATGAGCTCTATGGATTCCTTTGGAAATGATAGTAGTTTTGTAGGCTATACCGGTCCTTTGAGAAGTGAGGGACGAACTTCATTGGTTCATATGAGCGGGCCATTATATATTAGTCACAAGCCTGAGAATAGCTCTCGGCCCACTCCCACTGCAGTAGTGCACAAACCAACTCTGCCAACAACAGAAAAATATCCTTCAATTGGCAGTGGAGAACAAAATGGTTGGACTAATAATGACTACACTGGAAAAAATGAACATCTATTGAAGTCCGGTCAACTGGGCATGTGCAGTGATCCTTACTGCACAACATGCCCAACTGATAACCATTTGAAAGCACAAAAAAAAAGTTCGAAGTCTGCAGATATGTTTGATCACCAGGTATTGCACTTTGCTCAAGTTAAATGTATGCCTTCCTAGCTATGTTGCTGCGATGTGTTTTTTTAGAGCCCCCATTCTAGCTTTATCTACCTTGCACACTATTTTCAAAGGTTTATCATCTCGCATAGTCAAAATTTCACCTTTGGCCACATAGGAAGTTTCGCTTTTTGTTGGGTTTTTATTGTTTTGTAAACAACTGTGCATGTCCAATCAAGTTTCCCTATTTTTGCATTCAAGTTGATGATATACTTTTGAATCCATAATGCTCAAACTTTGGTGTTATTCTCGGTTATGGTTCTTGCAATTAAAAGAGCTTTGTGGTTCCCAGTTCCAATATCCCTTATTCGAATGACCTTGTCCATATCTCAAATAAGATTTTTAGTCTGTATTCATCAGCTTAAACATTTTGCAAGTTTTTGGTGTAAGAGTAGTATACTGGAAAATGTGAAACAATACTTGGATTTCTAGATATTCTAGGGAGGATTACATAATAGGCTATTTTTTATCCTTCTGGCCATGTATTTTTGTGTACCATCTTGGTACTTTACTTAATGACAACCTTTACGTTATAAAAAAAACTGTAGTGCAAGTTCAATTGTAAGTATATTTGTCGCTTTGTTAACAGTTGACAAGGATGATTATATGGTAGCGCTGATTTACAGTCCAATATTAAAATACTCCACCCTTCCACCCATCCACCCATTATGTCTTTGTTTGTGCTAATTATAGTCTTTCTGGCGTAGTGCGAATGGTGAAAATAGAAATGGAAGATGTTCTAGCAACTTCCTGCAATTATTCTCAAGATGTTATAAGGATGAGAAGGGAGTGTGTAGTCTATGTAGATAAAGATGAATAGTATACTGTAGCATAAGATCTGTTGTCCAAAAAAGTGGTCTAAAGCTGCTTCCAATTATGCTTTCATTGTTTCATTCGGGAGGATGAACTAGACTTTTTCCATCGCCCCATAGTTATGGCAAGTCTTGAGTAAAAATGGTTGCCTCCTCAAAGTTAGTTAAGGCTCTGGCAGATGGTGTTCCATGTCATTTCCTGAAAAGGAAATGAAAGAGATGAATAGAGTTGTCCTGTTCTCATGGCAATTGATGCAAACTTTAAGCTTAAATACTCCATGGGCCTGTGCACGCTGAAGGCTTCAATGGTGTTATGGCCTATTTCTTCTTCTTCTTTTTTTTTTTTTTTTTTTTTTTTTTTTTTTTTGAATTTTCTGGATTTGCTTTGTTAGAGGTATCCCGATGTTGCTGTTAGATGTATTATCTCATTTCCTATGAATTTCAAAGGATGCACTGGATGTTAAGCTGTCTAAATTCTCGTGTTTTGCTCTTATTGTTCTTATCTACAGTTCCATAATATGCTGTATGGAGATACAAAAGGATGGGCGAAGAGAACTTGTTCTTTCTTGTATCCATATATTCCTGGTGTCATGAATCCTCATGCGAAGATTGTCCAGAAGTGGAACAAATTTTTTGTCATCTCATGCCTATTTGCATTATTTATAGATCCCCTGTTCTTCTTTTTGCTTAATGTCCAACAGGTATTCTTTTGTAGTTCTATGAAAGTAAAATTACTTTTCCTTCTATATTTGGTTATGTAGGATAAGGCATACATATTTTTGTGTAAAATCTGTCACTTAGCTTGTGCTACTTAGATCTAGGTACATGCAGTATATTTCCAAAGTGCACATAATATGCCATGCTTTTACCTGGATATGAAAGAATCAAGTCATTCTGTCTCTCACCCATTAAGTTATACTACTATCTAAGATGTGCAAATTCGTTTCTCTCAAGCAGGAAGTGAATAGATTGGTGAGGAAATGATAGCTTTTGCAGAACCAGAATTATTTAATATAATGAAAGTTTGTCCTTCTGAAATTTTTGTGAGCATGACAGGCATATACAAATATGTAAAATGATCACTCATCACCTTGTGCATACTGAAATTAGAGTTTCCTTTCTGTATTGTTGCTTTATATGAGCTTCCTATTCTAGAAACTGTGAAGGAATCATAACTCCAATTACCATGCATAATAAAGAACATAACTTTCATTAGAGCAATAGTAAAGTTGTCTCCGTGTGACCTATAAGTCACGGGTTCGAGCGGTGGAAGCAGCCACTAATGCTTGCATCAGGTAGGCTGTCTCTGTCACACCTTTTGGGGTGCGCCCCTTTCCCGAACCCTGCGTGAATGCGAGATACTTTATGCACCGAACTGCCCTTTTAACTATCATGCAGACGACCTATCAATTATAAAAGACTACAAAAGGTTTGCTCTGAAATAAATGAACAGTATTGACTAGCTATGTAACACAGGTTTGTCATTCCAATACTTAGACAAGATCATGCTATGGAAAATCTATTTCATTCTAAGCCACTTTGAGCTCAAGAACATAGAGCCACTTTCTTATGCCTGAGATTAATGACCATTATCTCTAGAACTGAAGTTATTCTCGGAGGTTTTATGCATTTCAGGCTAAGAGTTTAAACTGTTAAAGCAGAAGTCAGATGCTTTTGTAGGCATGTTGTGATCTTCAGACCTATCACTCCTTTAAATAATTGTTCAGACAAGATATTCCTTTCTTTCGATGAATCTTGAATCTAAAATGTCTGTTTTTATTAGGTATCATGGGAATTTTTATTCTATCTTGCTCATTGGAAATTTTTTCATAGTGCCAGAATCTTCTATAGATGATAAACAAGGTTTACAATTGAATTAATTTTCTCTAAAAGATTCATCTTCTTGTTATGATTCTAGGGGAACAAATGCATAGTGCTAAATTGGCAAATGACAAAAATTATTGTGATTTTGAGGAGCATCACTGATATCATTTACTTAATGCACATTCTTCTTCAGGTAACATTTCCCATTTCTCTCTACAGAATCCTTTTTTCTTTCTGATTAGCAACACCAATTTACCTGTGCAATATTCTTTGTGCACCATGTGAGTTGTCATCTGGCACTCTTCTTTTCCTGATCTGGCTGCATAACTGGCTTTTTGGTTATTTCGTTGTTGGTTTTATAATATTTATCTATTATAGGAAGGTATGGAGGTCGAGTATTAGGGTTGTAGGTTAGGAGGTAGTCGAGCTTTTTTCTACTTCGAACCGGGGGTGAGGCTAGTTTGATAGGGTTGATCTTAGACGGCTAGTGGTTAATGTTGTGTTCACACTATCCTTTTGTTCTTCATAGCACCGGGCCTTGTTTACTGGTTATTGTTATTGCATGTCATGTGTTTTCTCATTCTTATGTTGTTGTTATTATTTCTATGGTTTCTGTTGACGGTACTGATATATTGTCTTTTCTCGTCTTTTTCGTTTTCTTGAGCGAGAGTCTATCGGAAATAACCTCTCTGCCCCATCAGGGTAGGGGTAAGGTCTGCATACACAGTACCCTCTCCAGACCCCACTTGTAGGATTTTATTGGGTCGTTGTTGTTTTTGTTGTTATTGTTATTGTACTATATTGTTTCTCCATAATGACATTTTTATTCTTCTGCAGATTAAAGCTATTCCAGAAATATATATTGGCAGTTCTACTGCATCCCATTTAATGCTTAGTCAATTCAATGTGACAACTAAATAGTTAATAGATCAAAAGCTGGTTGACCTTACTTTAGTTACTTCCACTTTTCTGCATAGAGACAAGTGTTTGACACTCACTTTCGTTCATCTTATTTATTATTTCTATAATGTGCGGGTACATGATGTCAATTTTTTTGCAGTTCCGCTTAGCTTATGTTGTTCCTGAATCTAGGGTGGTGGGAGCAGGTGACCTGGTTGACCACCCTAAAATGATTGCTATAAATTATCTTTCTGGATACTTTGTTGTTGACTTTTTTGTCGTACTACCACTTCCTCAGGTAAATGTGTCTTCCCTGTCTTATGTTTCTCTAACCTACATTTCTGTGTACTCCATAATTAGACATGCTAGGAGCCAATACTGATAGAATTAGTAATGAAAAGTTAATTCTCTCGCATATCTAAGTGCTTCTATGTACACCATGAACGCAATGACACCAACTTTTTAGCTGATTGTAGTAGGACAACCTTATGTTGACTTTATTGTACCCAACCTGAACATAGGAGTTCAGCTGTTAGTAAAGTTAATTCCCTTGTTGCCTTCTCTGCCACTTGTTGGTTTTGAGGTATAATTAACATATCCGCTATGTGCAGATCATCATTTTGTTGGTTTTACCCAAGTCTATTGGATCATCTGGGGTAAATTACACGAAGAATCTACTGTGGGCAGCTATACTACTCCAGTACAATTCTAGGTTGTACAGGATTTATTATTTGGTTGCTGGCCAGTCTCCAAGTGGTTTTATATTTGAGTCAATATGGGCAACTTTTGTCATAAATCTTCTCATAATTGTTGTATCAAGCAATATAGTGGGCTCATTGTGGTATCTTTTTGGTTTACAGGTGAAAACTTGTTCTTCACAGTACTTAGTTTTTCTGTTCCTTACTTCAGTTTAATTATATCATTGTTTATGAAGCCATTACTTCTACTTCTTAGTAGACTTCTGCGGGTAGAGGGGTTTTAGGGCATGCATAAAACAAATATATTGAAAATCATTAAGTGCTTTCAACAAGTTTCCTTGTCCTTGTTTTCAAAACATACTCTGATTAAACTTTTTTCCTCCATCTCTAGAGGGTTAATCTATGCCTTCAAGGTGCTTGTCGTAGCTCAAACATAGAAAGGTGTATGGAGTTCATAGACTGTGGTCATGGCACCGATTACACAAAGTTTCGGTCAGATATTACATGGGACCAGTGGAAGAACAATACTGATGCAGTTGCTTGTTTTACTGAAGGTAGTTTTGACTTTGGGATCTATAAACAAGCTGTTGATCTCACCACCAAACAGAATGTTGTCACAAGATATGTGTACTCATTCTTTTGGGGCTTCCAGGTATATTTACCCAGCCTTTATGATTGTGGGACATAATCTGCTTATTTCTATACCAGCTGTTAAAAAAATGTAATTTGTATACATGCTCTAGTGGATCTATGTATGTTTTGCTGCAGAGCTATTGATATTTCTATATGACACCAGATTTAAGTAAGACTACTTCTTTAATAAAAAATTATTAACTTTTTTTTTTTGGGAATACAACGTAGGTGTCCCCCAACGTTTTGGTCAAGTTCTATGGTAGGCAAAAGGTTCGTTGTTTTGTAGGGACTTCTAGATTAGATCCGCATTGCATGATAAGCTGTTCAGATATTGTCATACCTTTACCCTATATTTATAAACTAGGGCAAGGAAGGAAGGGAATATAAAATTACCTATGTATTATTAAACCTAAATTGGGTGTATCTGCTAAAAACTACGGTAGAGCTGTTTATGATCAGGGTCGGATATGCTTTGGCACCAGGTTCATCTAAATCTCGCATTTTCGACGCGGAGTATGGATTTTATATGAAAACCCACAAAATTTTCAACAAATATTAATCTAAACCCATAATTTTAGAAGTATGATGAGTTCATTGCTAAGAACCTTAGAGGTCAAACCCATCAAGTTATAATCCTGGATCTGCCTCTGTTTATCATTATTCATGGTGGATTTAATTTTACCAAAGATGATGACAATGTGAACTTTCAACCATTTACGCATTGGAGTGATTGTTTCTTAGTTTGTGCCAAAGCATTTGTAAAGCGTGCAGAAATTGTTGGGCCCAAACTGGAATTATAGCTCACTTTCCACTTACTTCCTTAAATCAAACAAGGGATGGGAAATTACCTTCCTTTCTTTATCTTTCCCTATTTTCCAAACGTAAGACCAGGAGTCGAGCCGATATGATTAGTATTTTATAATTCTATTTCGTGTGTGTTTGTGGTTTCATTATGCTCCTATCTTCTTCTTTTTTTAAAATCTTTTTTACGTCTTATATAAATTTGATGTCTTTGAGGAGTTTTCAATATCTTAATTTGACTTCTTGACTTTGATACTGATGTGCATGATTCTCTAGTCTCTTCTTCGTGTCAGTGTAAGGAATCATAGTTTCATCATGCATTTTGGGTATACTTTTTTTCTCTTTTTTGTTGGATGTAAGAAAAGTTCACCAAAGAGAATTTGAGACTGCAAGGCTGAAGAACAATTTCATATCATAAGCAGCCCAGTGCACGAAGCATCCGTGTTCACGCAGGGTCGGGAAAGGGCTACACCCAAGGGCTTGGGGTGTGATGTAGGCATCCTACCCTAATACAAGCAGCAATGGCTGATTCCACAGTTCGAACCCATGATCGGTCACATGGAGACAACTTTATTGTTGCTCCAAGGCTCCCTTCAAGAAGTGAAATTCTGGAGCTCCACATTATACAAGTTTTGAAAAAGTTTACTCATCAAGCCGAAAAACAACTAGTCTTTTTCCTCTGTTTCTCATACCAGAAAACAAGCTTTGATAAGTTGATGCGATTTGAGCACACACTAGCCATTACAAGTAATATAATCTAAATAAGATGTGGATCCCACAAGAATTAGGTTTTATATAGAGAAAAAGGTTAAATTTGTCCCTCTACTTTAACATATTATCCACGTTTATCCCTAATTCTACTATCGGTCCAAATTCGTCCCTACCATTAAGAAAGTAGACAAACATATCCCCAACCCTAACGGCTGTCCACTGTGGCAAGGGACCCACTCAATAAAAAATGCCACATAATTAATTCTAAATTTTCTTTTCTCTTCTTCTACCTAACATCTTAATCCCTTGCCCTCCACCGTTACATCAACCTAAACCACTAAACCCATGAAAGAACTGGGTATTTAGTACTTTGTGGCGGCGCCTTGAAGGGTTGAACCATCGTCCTCTGCCTTGAAACCACACTGAGACAACCTTCCACCACCATTTTCAACCTTCCTTCGTCTTCATTTGTTAAAATCGCTGGCCTTCACTGTTTGCTAAAACAAAAAAGGACTCAATAATTAAAATTGCTTGCTTGCTAATAAACTGTGTAGTATTAATACACCATATTCACTCACCATTATCTTAACACCAAATTTTCCTTTTTAGTCTCTTACCTGCATTTTTAGATTACAAAATTAAAACTTTCCAATTTTTTCTATCACTTTTTTCTTTTGATTCTTGTTTTTTTCTTTTCTCGGTGTTACCGATATGTCTAGATTAGTATAAAAAACGGAAGAATGGAGCTTTGGAAATCTGAAAATAGTGAAAGAAAAAGGGTTCTAGTTGTTTTCAAGTGTCAATGGAGAAGGTAAATGTATGGGCTGTGATTTTGCCCATTTTTTAATTGATTACGGTAGTATTTTTGTTTGACAAGTAATGGTTCTATGTGGTTTTGCCATCCATGGAGATGGGTGGGGTGAAAGGGAAGGTAAATAATGGTAGAGGGCAAGGGAGAGAAAGGGGATAGATTCTGATTGTAGGGAAAAGGAGAAAGAAAAAAAATAAAAAAATAATTACGTGGCATTTTTTATTGACTGGGTCCCTTGCCACAATGGACAACTGTTAGGGGTTGGGGATATGTTTGTCTACTTTCTTAACGGTAGGGACGAATTTGGACCAATAGTAAAATTAGGGATAAATGTGGATAATTTTCTAAAGTAGAGGGACAAATTTGGCCTTTTTCCCATATATATAAATTTGGACCAATAGTAGAATTAGGGATAAACGTGGATAATTTTCTAAAGTAGAGGGACAAATTTGACCTTTTTCCCTTATATATATCTTTATATATAGAGACAGATATGTATGTATGTATACACACACAATCAAAGCAATGTTGTTATATGCATTATCTGAGAGATCGATTTGGTAGTGAAAAGGTGGATCTACGACAAGTGAAATAGTTTACTCACACTTGAGATGAAACTGAGTCAGGGTTAAGAAGTTTATCAATGATAAATAATGTTCTGAAATCTGTTTCATCTAATGCTCAAATCTATGGTTAATAAGCATGAACTGCATTTAATTATTTCTCTGAAGTAAGATTGTCCTTTTGAGGTACAATTGGTAATTATGAATTTTCTAAGCTTATAAGTTCTCCTTGGTAATTTATATCCATAGATCCTTCACAACGCAAGAAGCACCATCACACTAGCTTTCTTAAAATGGTAACCGTCCTATATATGCAATGTCCTTTTCGCTGAATTGCCTATTCTAGATACTCTTGGTTCAAAGACGCCATTTCAGTTTAGATCTTAAAACTTGCATGCCACACTGAAGATCTTGTTTCAACACGACTCCATCAACATACTTTGGGTTCTCACCACATTTAACATAGATATTGCATATAACAAGTTTGACAAGCATAGATATACCATTTCATGAAAGCAAAAGTGAAGATCTATTAGTTAAACCTTAGATTTAAGCAAAAGGATTCATTTATTCCCAACCTAAATAGTGTTAACACTTACCATTGTAGTGTTACAAAGAATCATGAAGAATTCAAAAAGAGGGAAAGAAAAAGAAATGAAGAACTAGAACAGAAAGCTTTGTTCTCAGACCTTCCTCCCTGTAAAGTTCCCAAGAAGTCTGAGGACCTTATATTATGGAAGTTGAAATGCATGTTCCTCAAGGGGGAAGAAAGTTGCCAAGAAGTCTGAGGACTTTATATGATAAAATTTGAAAAATTTGGTGCAAGTTGTGGAACGGCTTTCTTGGCGACTTTATGCTGCTTTGGTGTTGAATTTTGATACAGGGTCATTGATGTGCTGTGGCAATTCTTCAGTGCTGCAGTGCTGAAAATAAAACCTTTTTCTTCCTAGTTTCTTCCTGTGCCGCAGCAGCTAAACTCATAGTGCTGCAGCAGTGTGCTCTTCTGCTTATACTCTTCTTTTTTGCTCAATGTTGTAATTTTTCTTCTCTCCTACATAATTAAAGTAATCAAGTCAGAAATTTACGCAAGCATTAAAAACCCATCTTTGATTGAGCATCTCTTGGCAGAATAATATCAATGCAATTTCATCCGATCATGAGCCAACCCAGGAGCTTTGTACATTGCATTCACTAAGTTACTAGTGTCACTTAATGTGGAAATTATATTTTTCGACCCATAATTTTTAAATGGTGTATTTACAAAGCAAATTAGTACACTGGCTGGCAATCAAGTCCCGAGTTATTTTCTGTTGGAAGTTGTTTTCACAATTGCTATCATCGGAACGGGACTCCTACTTTTTGCACTCCTGATTGGAAATATGCAGAGCTTTCAGCAGTCTCTAAATCGCAGGTACATTTTACTATTCTAAATAAACTAGATCAGTTTTTGTGTATGCCAAGGAGGCCTATTTTTAATGAAATGTATTTAATGATTGTGGATAAACATGTTTTCTATTCAGTTTTTCTGTTCCGGAAATGCTACTAGTTAGCAGAAGAAATATATTGTGAGGGAGTGTAACTATATTAATCTGCCACAAGAGTTATACATAAGTATTTTGTAACAATATCTCTTAACTGAAACATGAAGTCTTTGCCTCTTCTCAAAAAAAAGATTAGTTATGTGAGGGAAATTGAAGAAGGAAATGCTTGGAGGAACATTTTTGGATAACAAAACTATTTGGTTGTGTGGAAATTTTAATACATTGTTCACCAGTCTTATTGTATAATATGGTTAACGTTCTCTTACTTGAATGTAATTGTTTGATTTGTTAGTATGTCCTTTGTCTTGATTGTGCACCACTTTTTGGGCAACTGTTGATGAGCATTATTTTTCTCTGCAGGAGGTTAGAAATGTCTCTCAGGCGTCGTGATGTTGGACAATGGATGAGCCATAGGCGCTTTCCAGAAGAACTAAGAAGGTAGCCTTTGATGCTCTTGTTTCTTGACATCTAACTTCTATTATCTGAAGTTCTTCTTCTCCTTAATTTACCTGTATAGATTGATTGCATCCCTGGCTTGGGTATTTGAGGGCATGCCTGATCTGCTATGCATCATCATATCTTACACCTATTTTCCCGTTGTGGAGCCAGGATTTTCACCAAGGGGATTCAAAATATAAAAAAGTACACACACGAAGCTTCCAAGGGGTTTCAATATCTATTATATATACATAAAAAATAAGTTTAACCTTGTATATATAATGTAATTTTCCGTCTAAGGGTTTCAGATGAACCCCCTTGCACTCCCTAGCTCCGCCCATGCTATCTTCATACTTCATTTGTTCTGGACCCCAGTCAAAGCTTGAATTGAAATACTTAAAATTTTCTGTTTCGACTCTGCATTCCACTGTCTAGGATATCACAGTTAAAGAATTATTAAGATTCTATTTATTTAGCTCAATCTGGCTTTATGTTCTGTATGTTTAGTCATGTGGGTTGCCGGTGCAGGAAGCTCAAATTAAGTCTATTTCTAATTGATTTTTTTATAAGAAAATGGATCTTTGGCCTAACTCAACCCCAAAAGTTAGCTTATGAGGTGAGAATTGCTTAATACCATATAAAGAGACCAAATATCCACATCTACAGGATGAGGGAACTCAACCCGTAACACCTCCCTCCGGCACGCGTGCATGCGCATGCCCAGGATGGGACATCTAGAGCGTGGGTGATATAAGATTGGGGCCTAACATCTGGTAAACCGTGAATTGGAATTGCTTGGCTTTGATGGGATGATAAGAAAATGGATCTTGGGACTAACTCAACCAAAAAAGCTAGCTCTTAAGTTGAGGATTGCCCAATACTATATAAGGAGACCAAGTACCCACACCCCACCCAATGTGGAAACTCGACAATTGTTTGATGTAAATTTTAGTTTTATGAGATGTTGCATGGTTGTTTCTTGTCTAAATATCTAACTAAGTTAATAGTCCTTACTAACTTATAATCATATCCTTGATAGTCCTCTCTGGCTAGTGAGTCTTATAGTTGGATGTCCAAATACACTTTTATTGTTTAACTTAATTAGAGTTGAATTTTGAGAATTAACAGAGAAAGGTTTTCATGCCCTTGTGAGTTTCAAGGACATAAAGTTCATTCTTCCTTCCCCACTTATTTCAATGTGCACTTGTCTTGTTTCCCTTCTTTTGTCCTGCATCCTAAGTGTTACACCTATTGGAGCTCTCTGTAATCTTATGTAACTCCATCTGCATCCCAAGTATTACACCCATTGAGTTCTCTGTAGTGTTCCATATTGTGAGGAAGTTTCTCCTCACAATATCCAGTCTTTTCTCCACATTGGCCGGTAAGGGGAATAGTTACATCACATAAGTTGGCATTGAGTGCAACACACTGTTGATCAGAATTAGTTGATCGCCCAGAAAGAGATTGACGTTTCCATCATGCTAATCTTTTCTCACATCTTGGATCTTTCTATCATTCCTTTCCATATTTCATGCGATTTATACCCAAGGGAAGACCCAAATAGCTAGTTGGTGGAGAATCAACTTGGCAGTCTAGTATACCAACAAGTATTGAAACAGTCTGCAATGGGTTCACAGAAAACATAAAACTTTTTCTCCAATTTACTTTTAGGCCATACTGTGTTGATTAGCATGATTAAATGAAATTTGATTATATTTAGGAGATTGTTGATTAGCATGATTTCAGGAGATTTGATTGTATTTAGGAGATTTGTTTTTGTTTGATTTGATTTGATAGCTGGATTGATTGTATAGATTTATAATTAGCAGTAGGAGCTTTGTATTAATTCCCTTGCTCAGCTATGTAAACACACATAGAAATACAAGAAGGTTTTTCTTCTTCTCAAAATCTACATGGTATTAGAGCCATTGCAGCCTTTTTGAGGTGAGTTATCTCCCTCGCAGCACTAGGGTTCCGTTTTTTCAAAGAGGTCCGAGTTTTCTCTCTCTTGGTGGTCGTCCGCAACACAAACTCCTTCTGGTCGTTCTTTTCTGTTGGGATAGCTGGAACATTCCGAGCCTGTCCCTACCAGTTTTGATTTTTTCGTTCACCAGAGTTTAAGGTTCTGTCGAGGAGGATTATTTTTGAGCAATTTCTTTAGATTTCCTTCTGATTGGGCAGAAGATGTGGAGACATTCAAGGAGGCAGTTTCTGGAGAAATCTTGTCTTCGGATGAAATTCAACTTTTTCGTCGCCTCCTAGCCAAACTTGACTTTGCTAATGTTGCCACATCCAATTATGTGCAATGAGGTACTACCTTTGCTGCTCACCTTAATTCTTGGATTGTTGATTCTGGTGCAAATAGACATGTGACAAGCTCTTCTAAAGGCATTCAAAACTATTCTCCATGTTTCAAAGGAGATAAATGTTAAAATAGCTAATGGTTCTTTAACACCTATCTCTAGAACATGTTCTGTCATTTGTATTCCTAATATTAAACTATCATTCGTGCTCCATGTCCCTGAGTTCTCTGTCAATCTTTTATCTGTTAGTGCCATCAGCAAAGTTCTAAACTGTCAAATCGAGTTATTTCTCGATCATTGTATTTTTCAGGATTTCAAACAAGGAAAAGTTTGGCAGTGGTAGATTGCGTGATGACTTTTATATATTAGATGGAATTCAAAACTCTGGTCAAGCCTTTTTAGGGACATAAAAATATCAACCAAGAAATAATACGGTGACATAGACGGTTAAGACACCCATCATCCTTTGTTTTGAAGAAGTTATATCCCGATTTGTTTTCAAGGACTCAATTTGAATTTTTGTTCTGTGATGCATGTAAATATGTCAAGCATACTAGGAACTCTTATCCCGTGAGTGATAATAGAAGCAGAATTCTGTTTATGACTATTCATTCTGATGTATGGGGTCTTACCTAAACTGTTTCTTTGACTAGTAGTCGATGGTTTGTCACTTTCATTGATTGCTGCACTAGGATGACTTTGGTGTATTTGTTAAAAGCCAAAAGTGAAGTTTTATCTTGTTTTCAGTCATTTCATAAGATGATTTGTACTCAATTTGATACCAAAATAAAAATCTTGAGAACTAACAATGGCAGCGAATACATGGATAAAAGATTTAGTGCTTATTGGAGTCTAATGTGATTGTCTATCAGACTAGTTGTCCTTACACTAGTACACAAATTGGGGTCATTGAAAGAAAAAATAGACATTTGATAGAAGTAGCAGGATCTCTTATGTTCACCATGCATCTACCAAAACCTTACTGGGGATGTTATTCTAGTGACTACCTATCTTATCAACAGAACGCCACTTTAAACCCTCAATTTTCAAAGTCCTCTGGAAGTTTTAAAGGGTAAGAATGAATATATTGTTCCTCCAAAGGTGTTTGGGTGTGTTTGCTTTGTCCATACTAGGAATTCTGGGAAACTTGATCCTATAGCTATAAAGTGTGCTTGCATCGGGTATTCTCCCGCACAGAAAGGTTACAAATGTTATCATCCTTCATCTAGGAGATCTTTTGTTAGCATGGATGTTGCCTTTTGAGAATCTGAGCTCTATTTAGTATTACCTCATCACCTCTTCATGGGGAGAGCAGTAAGGAGGAAGAGGTGATTCTATCTTGTTCCATTACTGGACCTCTTGATGACATTGTCATATGGGAAAGTGAAATTAGAGAGAATTCAGGGGGAGACTATTGGGCGTTTGAATAGGCCTGATTTGAATGGCGTTTGGATAGGCCTGATTTGAAAACTTACTCAAGAAGAAATAAAGCAGAAGAAGCCATCATGCAATCTACTAAAGCTGAACCTTCTTTTATTGGTGAGTTATCTACATTTCCTAATGAGTTAGATGTGCTTATTGCTCACAGAAAACGAGTTAGATCTTGCACCACCAAACACCCTTTATCTAATTTTGTCTTCTATAATTCTTTGTCTCCTTCCTATAGAGCCTTTGCCTTGTCTATTTCTTCTATGTCTTCCTCAAAATTGGAGGACATCTTTTGCAGATTCCAAATGGAAGCAAGTTATGATTGAAGAAATGAAGGCCTTGTCAAAAAATGACACTTGGGAACTTGCCACTTCACCACCGACAAGAAGTTGGTTGGCTGCAAATAGGTCTTCACTACGAAGAACAAAGCTGATGGCTCAATTGAAAAACTTAAAGTAAGATTACTGGCTAAGGGATTCACTAAGACTTATGGAGTGGATTATTAAGAGACATTTGCCTATATTGCTAAGATGAACACTATTAGAATTCTTTTGTCTTGTGCAATTAATCTTGATTGGGTCTTGCAACACTTTGATGTGAAGAATGTCAAGGAAATGTATGCAGATTGAAGCAATCCCCCAAAGCTTGGTTTGACAGATTCTGCAAACCAATAATCTCCTTCGATTACCAACAAAGTAATGCTGATCACACCCTCTTCTTATGACATCAAACGAGTAAACTCACTCTTCTCATAGTTTATGTTGATGGCATAGTAATGCAAGGAGATGACAAATAGGAGATGGTCCGATTGAAGAAGTTGGTGACACATGAATTTGAGATCAAAAATCTAGGAAAATTGCAGCACTTATTGGGAATTGAGGTTGCTAGATCAAAAAGAGGAATATTTAATCTTCAAAGGAAGTATATTCTGGATCTTTTGAGAGAAACTCGTATGGCAGGTTGCAGACCCGCAGAATCGCCTATTGAAAGCATCACAAGTTACAAAGCGTAGTTGGAGAGTCAGTTAATAAGGAGAGATATCAGAGGTTGGTTGGAAGACTCATTTATCTCTCCCACACTAGACCAAACATAGCCTATTTATTTAGCCTGGTGAGTCAGTTCATGCATGATCCTCGAGATCCTCATATTCAAGCGGTCTTTTGCATTTTGCGGTATCTGAAGTCTACTCCAGGGAAAGGTCTACCTTTCTTCCAAATAGAATCCTTTACAGACGCGAATTGGCTGGATCTCTAGATGACAAGATGATCTACATCCGGTTATTGTATGCTCGTATGAGGAAACTTGGTTACTTGGAGAAGCAAGAAGCAAAGTGTAGTTGCTAGATCAAGTGCGGAGATAGAATATAGAGCTATGGCCTAGGATTTTTGCGAACTGCTTTGGCTACAAAAGCTACTAGAGGAATTGAGAATGTTTGAAAAAGGAAAACTTTCCTTGTACTGTGACAATAAGGCTGCCATCAATATAACTCATAATCCAGTCCACCATGACCGAACAAAGCATGTGGAAATTGATTGACACTTCATCAAAGAAAAACTGGTGTCTTGAGTTTATTTCATGTGCCATCGAAAAAACAACTAGCTGATGTGTTTACCAAAGGTCTCAACAAGCGAACTTTCCATATATTGAGTTGCAAGTTGGGCATGTGCGACATCTTTGCACCAACTTGAGGGAGACTGTTGATTAGCATGATTCAACGAGATTTGATTATATTTAGGAGATTGTTGATCAACATAATTTCAAGAGATTTGATTATATTTAGTATATTTGATTTTATTTGATTATATATATTTATTTTATTTCTTTAATTAGCATTGCTCATAGGATGTAAACACACACAGAAATACGAGAAGTCTTTTCTTGTTCTCAAAATCTACATATTTTACTTTAAAACCAGTTGCTATCGGCCTTAAATGCCTTATTTGTTCCATGCCATCATATAATACTAATGTATAATCAGCATACACAAATGTGAGATTTCCATATTGTGGGTCTTACTGCTAGCTACTTTAAAACCCTTTATCCAACCATTATGACTGGCTATTCTTTTCATTCTGCTGAACTTCATGACCAGTAGGAACAGGAAAAAAGAGAAAGGATCTCCTTATCTAATACCACTTTGTGAAGGGAAGAAGCGCATAGGAAAAATCTTACCGTGCTGATACAAAAGAATATCCATTTGATCCATTCCCTTCCAAATCCCATGCCCTTAAGGACAGTGCAGTTGGAAATCCCAGTTCACACGGTCATATGCATTTTCAATACCAACTTGCATGGAATTCCAGGCTATTTACTTTTTAATCTGGTATCTGCACACTCATTAGCTATAAGGCAAGCACCTATGATCTGCCTCCCCTCAGTGAAATCCATCTGATGTCTATCAACCAACTTGTGCATCACCTTCAAATCTTTCAGTCAAAAGCTTACAAATGATTTTGTAAAAATTGGACTACCCTTTCCACCTCCGAGTCTTGGATAGCTATTAACTCTCTAATGATAGTAAGAATATCAAAAATTATATGGACAAAACTATTGTACTTTTGGAAATTGAGTAACGACTGTATCTCTACTTCTAAGTGAAAGACCCCGAGATAGATTGATTCTAGGAGAGCTGTAATGCGAGGGCATTTTCCTAAATGGACCACGCTGAAGCTTCCTATTAATTGTTCAAGAAATATAGAAGAGGCTGTCATTGTATTTCTTTTATTCTTGCGAATTAAAGCATCAGCAATATGATCAATGTATCCAAAATGAGAAACTACCATGCGTCCTAGAAATGAGCTTTTATTGAAATCTTTCTCATTACTGCACTACAAGGAAACCTAAAGGCATGATCCTCTCCCTTGTAGGCGAGTTCTAGAGGCTGAGAGATATAATTGGGCAGCTACCAGAGGGGTCAACGAAGAAATGCTACTAGAGAATCTTCCCGAAGATGTTCAAAGAGATATTAGGAGACATCTTTTTAGATTCATCAAAAAGGTGAATTTCACTGGACTATCATTTGGATCATTTTTCTCTTTATTCTCTTATTTCTCATGCTTTTCATAGACGAGCTCACTTGCAGACATATATTGTGATGGAATCATTGAGTCTAGCCAATCAAGGTTTAGATTGTGAAACATTTCAACTTTTTGTTAATCTAGTTTAACCAAATTGAACTGACAGGGAAAAAGGGGCTTCCTGGTTTGGGTTAGATTTAAGTTGTTTAACCTTCCCCAGCATGGAAGAGATTCGTTGATTGGAAGCTTGGAACTTGTAACATCAGGGAAACTTTGTCCTTCCATCAAAGCTTGCCTTCTCAGCAAGTCTGACATGATATGTGCTCTGAAGTCTGAACTATCTTAGGTCACTTTGAATTATGTTATGATTGTGATGATCTTTTTTTCCCAGAGAAGTAAAAATTCCTTCATCAATAATAGTGACAAGCATGTACAAAATGGATATATGGCTTAACCACAACTCGTTTATCAAATTATCTCATCCCTCTATACACACTGATGTTATTTTTTTTACACCAAATCTATAAATTGAACATGAAAGCACCAATACTGCTTCATACCTTTCACTATGATTGTGTTGATTGTTGTCATTAATATGCTTCATCAAAAAATTATTCGTATCACAATTATGATTTTATATTTGTCATTAAGATTAAGATTGTAATAATCATTATCTGTATCACCATTTTTATTCTTATTGTTCTTGTTGTTCATATCATTACGATCATTGTTATTTGCACATATAAATACATAATTGTTTGTAAATTATGTTCATCCTTAATAAATCCTCTGGTTTGCACATATCATCTCAAGTCTGAGATAATGGTGTTTTCACCACTATTTCAAAAAAATTCAAATAGATCCTTTGTCCTGCACATTTACTCTAGTCTGCGATTAATGGTGCTATTTTGGCGAGAACTGTACGACCCAGGTATATTAGTATAGAAGAACCACATAACATGCAATCACATTTTATTCTTAGTAGGAAGGATGGGTAAAGGTGGTGAAGGAAGAGGGAAGGAAGATGCATTCCTTGAGATGTGCTTTGGAAGGATAACATTGTACTGGCACAAAGAATGCTTTTGATGTGAGATCTAAGGGAGGTGATGGTGTGATGCTAGGGAGACAATGCAATGCTTTTCGGTTTTCCTTCTGTTTCTCAAGAAGAATTTCTGCTATCATATCTTTGAAGAGCAATGAGAGCGAACTAGTTGATGCAATGTGGAGAGAACACAAGAACCCCAAAAACCTGGGGAATTTCAGTGATTTTACTCGTCACAAAGATACAAAACCTTGAAGAATAGCTTAGATCTGAAAGAAGAGGGAAACCTGGAAATTTGGTGAATCAAGTTTGAAAAGGACTAAGAGTACTGGTGAAAACAAGCACAAAAGGACTAAGACTAATGATGAAAACAAGCACAAGAGAGGAGACCGGAGTGCTGCCTGAATATTCTTTTTTGCTTAGCATCACTTCCTTTGGATTTTGGTCTCTGGACTCTGGCAGTTTAATTGGACTTGTTCTTGTTTTTACTTTTGGTATTGTTTGGTAATTGTGTATGTTCTTTGCTCACTTAAAGGAGCTTTGCAAGGTTGTTGTTTTCATATTCATTTTCTTTAGCACCTGCCATGTTATCGAAGGAAAGGCTTTCAGAAAATGTACTGGATGAATCTATTATGTAGAAACCCAATTGGCCGATTCTCTAGGTGGCACATGGTGTGGGAATTGGAATAAACAGTTAGGATCAATTTTTGTTGTGAGGGAAATTGGGAACAAAAGAACACTACCCAATTAGGTAGATGCAACAAATTTAGAAGGAACAAATAGATGGCAGTTTGGGAGAATGATCAGTAGGGGTCTTTATAGAGCAAGTTTGGGTATGGGTGGCTGGGGATAGGGATAAGGTATGAATGTGGTGATTGTGTGGAGGTGCAAGGGTTAAGGACTGATTTTGTTATGCGCATTACGATAAAGAAATGGATCTAAGGCTTAGCTCAACTAAGCTAGCTCTTGAGGGGAGGATTGTCCAAGACCATAGAATGAGACCAAATCTCCCATCCACAACTTATGTGGGAATTCTGACACATTAAAATACACATTATTTTAGCCATGCAAATTTTAATTTGTCCATTTATTAAAACAGATAATATTTGATCTCTTCCTTCAACAACTTCATGCTACTGGTAGTAAATGGCTCTTTATACTGAACATATATTTTTGGATACTTCGGTCATGCCTTTCACATTATGTTATTGATTTGCAGGTCCAGATATTTGCACTTCTCGATGAACCCATCTTAGATGCTATCTGTGAGAGATTGAGACTGAAAACATACATAGCAGGAAGCAAAGTTTTATACCGTGGTGGTCTGGTTGACAAGATGGTTTTCATAATTCGGGGTAAGATGGAAAGCATTGGAGAAGATGGAAATGTGGCCTCCTTGTCTGAAGGGGATGCCTGTGGGGAAGAACTCCTCACATGGTGCCTTGAGCATTCTTCTATAAACAGAGGTGATTACAGATATTTAAAGATTGTCTTGTGGGTGCATTAATTTTTGGTATATATGCATGATATAATGTTGGCTCTAAATTTATGGTTATTAGATAAGACAATGTTCATTGGAACAGTGTAAGAAGAAAAAACTTGACAAAGCTTTTGAGGCAACTAATTGCACTAGCAGCAGCAACAACAACAACAAACTCAGTTGAGTCCCACAAGTGAGGACTGGGGAGGGTAGCGTGTACGCAGACCTTACCCTACCTAGAGAAGATAGGGAGGTTGTTTCTGATGGACCCTTGGCTCAAAGAAAGATGAAAAACGAAGCAATAGCAACAAGCAGTAACATGAGCTATCAAGTTATAAAAAGATTGAAGCAAAGAAACAACAACTAGTAACAAAAATCTACGACTAAGAAAATACAAGACTAACACTAATACTACTGTTATGGACATGGAAAACGCTCGACTATCTGACCTTCTACCCAAATTCTCGTCCTCCAAAACCTCCTATAAAGGGCCTTGTCCTCCATAAGCTGAAGCATTGCCATGTCTTGCCTAGCAAGCGTACTCATCATTTCAAACAATAAAGTGAACGGATAGAGTACTGTTCCATGAGAAACACCAAATTTGCAATTAATCATTGTTGTTTGAGATATCAAATGTGGAAATGTTTTAAGATTAAAAGGGAAAGTAAGTAATGGCTCACAAGCAAGGGAGAACATGGGATTGGGACTTGGAGTCTCAACTAGCTCAATTCCATCCAAGTGTCTTAATTAAACCTTACTAATCAAACCTAGGTCAATGTCATTAGCCTTGGATATCAATTGCCCATTAGTATTTCCAAACATCTAATAGATTCTTGGTTACCTACTAATTGTTTCCAAATAAATTAGCTAGTCTAACTCGGTTAATTGTCCCTAACCAAGTTGCATCAAGCACATTCCAATTTTGTCTACAAGCATGAATGAGTTATCCCTAACCTCTATCAATAGACTAGGTTTAATTAATACCTTAAGTAACCTAAAATTCTTGTTGATAACTCCAAACTCAACCCTAATTCCCTTTCCCAAGGCAAATCAAGGCAATTTGAGGATGTCTTAGGGTTAGCTACTCCCTTTGGAATCAATATAAAGCCAGAATAATCAAATAATCAAAAGACCCACTCATCAATAATCAAGAAGTCAATAAATACACAAGGTGGAAATTAAGCTAATCAAAACCCAAATCAACAATGCCTCCCAACCTATGTTGCGCGGACTCTCCAAACTGCTGCCGTACCCATATCGGATCCTCCAAAAATTCATTACTTTTGGAGGATCCGGCACACACGCAACGACATTTTCAGAGAGTCCGAGCACCATAGCTCCCATCAAGGTTGTCCAACCCACAAAATTTATACCAAATTTATCAATACAAAATGAGGAAATAAAGAAAGGAGATAAAGGTTGCACTGAAGGGTGTGGCCTAGTGGTCAATAAAGTGAGTTAGAACCATGAGGTCTTAGGTTCAAATCCCAGTAGAGGCAAAAACATTAGGTGATTTCTTCTCATATGTCTAAGCCTTGCTGGACGGAGTTACCTGATATATGTTGCTGGTGGGAGGTGACAAGTATTCCGTGGAATTAGTTGAGGTGCATGCAAGTTGTCCCGGACGCCATGGTTATTAAAAAAAAAGGAGATAAAAGTAAATAAATCTCTCAAAAGTGTAGCTCTAATTCTTCATTCCATGGTGTAGAGAGGTTGAAAGTGCTCCCTCAAGCTTGCTCTAGCAGATATTCAAAATGACCTAATACTACCTATTTATAGTTTAGGGCAACTTCTTACCAAATGTTCCCAAGAATGCCCTTCGGGAGAAAATGCGGACGGCACAAGATGCTGCGGTCCGCATGATGTCTTCGAGTGTTCCGCAGAAATGGCCTGGTGACTCTGGTATTGCGGCCACTGGATTCTCATCTTGACCAGTCTTGCCGGCTATGTTATGTGCTCCACACTTATCACCTGCAGACTGCAAGTCGCCTTGTGCTTTGCTTCTCATTTTGTGTCCAGTCTTTTTGAGTGACTTTTCTCTAACTTATTTGGGACTGAGGCATAGTTGTGGTTGGTGGTGGTGTTTTTTCCATCTTTTGGACTCTTCCACCTTGTCAGCACATTATTTCCTGAAACCATACAAAAGTCATAAGATTTGGCAATAATTATCACTCAAAGACATAACAAGTGCAAGTAAAGTCGAGAATAAATTGGTACAAATCCAACTTATCAGTGTCTTGCAGGACTTATGGATTTTGTCCGTCCTTATGAAACAACTCTTTTTTCTTGTTCTTATTTTGGTCTTATACTAGGACAAATGTGTAGACTATGAAGTTTATACGACATAATTATAATGCAAACGTCCCTGGATTGATGCTTTTCTTGTCTTGTGCTTGATATAAAGCCGATATACAAACTAGAAAATTGACTACCCCCCCCCCTCTTC